AATGTCTCAAAAACAGTCTGTGCATGAATTTGTGAGTACAGCTATTAAAGGGGATGTGAAGAAATAGAACTGATGGGAACAAGGAGAACTAAGGAATATGGTATCTCAACCAAACATATTCCTGATCTCTTGTTTTAACTCAAATACATCATTGAACTCTTTCTTTAACTTCACTATGTTCTTGACCTATTTTCATAATATGGCATGCCACAGATGTTGGATGCACCCATTTAAAAAAAGAAAATAATTTTGAATTCCAACCATGCTATGAAATAAAGACTGCTCTTATTCAATGAACCACAAAGAATTCTTTATTCTAGATGGCCATTATCTCAAAGAGCTTAGATACATTCAAAGAGGTCACAGTATGTCAACTTATCACTATTGTGGATGAAAGTAAATGGCAACCTTGAAGATGAAAAACTGAGGACCAGTATCCTGGAGTAGCCAATATTATAAATAGAGGTGTGGGGAATTGGTAACCAACCAGATATTATGTTCTTGAAATTGGAGTCCCAACCAATGTGGTCAACAAGATTGAGGAATGTTGTAAGTTGCCCTCTAACCTTGGAAGGTGCATACATTTCACATACTGCCTCAATTTTCCATGAACAAAAATAAAAATGTTTTGTTAATTCTCTACCATTTTTCTCCGCTACAAAAAATATTGCTGAATGTTATATTGTTAGTTTAATTTAGTGTAGAGTCATCTGTTGGAAGAGTAGAGTCCAGAGGAAGTGTTTTGGGGTGGGGATAAAAATTCAATAAATATTAAAAGATACAAAGACATTCTTGTTTCCCAAATATTCCAAATTCAATAGAGCAAATTAGGCATTAAAAAAAGGACACCCATATAACTTTCTCTGGAAAAAATATTTGATAGTTTTTTAAAAAAAAAATCAGGGAGCTTATAGCTACATTGAAAGTCAGGTTTTCTCAACCCTTGAAAAACAGATCACTCTTCCATTTAAACTAACCCTCATAGTGAGAAGGTCCAATTTCAAGGTCAAGGCTTGGTCAGGAACATGAGATTAAGAGGATCCAATAGATGGCATGAAATAAATTGGTGATGCAGTTGAGAAGTCAGAGCTGAATTGGAGAGAAGTGAATCAGCCAAATGGATATAATTTACTTGGAATTCAGTAAGGCATTTGATAGAGTAGACCACAACCTGCTACTTGATAAGGTAAAAAAAATGTGGGTTAGACAGCATCACCAGGAGATGGATTAGTAATTGGCTGATCAATCATGTTCAATGTGTAAAACTTAAGAAAACTGCATCCTGGCTTCCGGTTTGTGCTCCCGGCACTGGCGGACGTGTCGGGTGATCGCTCCCTCTGCCGTCCGGTTTTGTCCCGCTGGGGGACCCTGAAAAGGGTCGGAAGTGAAACCGAGAGAGACCTTGAAGAGCACACCAAAGGAGCCAGTTACCAAAACAATATGCCACCTGTGGATTGGCTGAGAGTCAAACGAATAGTGGGACCCTGGGGGGGAAAGTAACGAATACTGCTTTTGATATACTGCTTGCGTGGGCTATTTCCTCAGACCTTGCTTTGCTTCCTTACTATCGCTAATTCTCAATAAAAAGTTCTTTTTGAGATAATGCCCATTTCGAGAGTTCTGCTTTCTTGGGAGACCTAGTTGAGGCAGGTCCTTACAATTATTCGTAATGTCTAACTATAGATCTATCTAACTATAAATCTAACAATAGAATTTCTATTTATCAAGTTTAGTGAATAAAGTCACAAAAAATAATGTTTATTTACATTATAATAGCAGAGATATTTCTAAAGCATGGGAGAAGCACAAATAAAGGTATTACAAAGTTAATAGCAATAGCACTTAGAGTTATATACCGCTTCACGGTGCTTTACAGCCCTCTCTAAGCAGTTTACAGAGTCAGCCTATAGCCCTCAACAATCTGGGTTCTCATTTTACCAATCTCGGAAGGATGGAAGGCTGAGTCAACCTTGAGCCGATGAGATTCAAACTGCCAAACTGCTGGCAGCTGGCAGTCAGCAGAAGTAGCCTGCAGTACTGCATTCTAACTACTGCACCATCATGGTTCAATAGGTGCATTTCAAAAACATCCAGTCATGTATAACTTCTTCAATGACTCTTCTACAAAAAAAAATCAGTTGCTAAATAATTTTTATTTTCCCCTC